CTTCGTCGAGTCGAGTCGAGTCGTGCTCAAACTCCGCGTCCTTCTCTCTTTCTTTCCTTTTCTTTCTTTCTTTTTTTCTAATTCCGTTCGTCGAAAAATTCTCGCGGGCCACCGACCACCGACTATTACCACGACGGACGGATACCCAAATTGAACGAAACGCGCGCGACGAGACGAGTAATTAGCCCTCGCGAGCACGAGTTACCCGTTGCTCGTTTCTCGATGCTCCAGATAACGAGCACTCGGTAATCGGGCTCGCCAACTGAACGACAAATAATTACCGGCGTAAATAGCAAAAAAGGAGGAGGAGGAGAAGTATCCACGCCGGGCTGTGAAAAGAGCGCGTCGACGGGAGCTAAAAATATAAACTCTATCGCGAGATTCGTCGTTGGACGGGGGTGAGAAAGACGGGCAGTGTGTGTGCATGTGTGTGTGTGCAGAATCGCACGCACGCACGCACTCGTAGGTTCGAAGAGGCTCAACCACGAGAAGCTACCTTCGTTTTCCAAGTCGCGAGAGCAAGCATCGCGGAATGAGCTGCTACTTAGAGAGAACGGGTGGAAACGCATTCACCGGCACGCAATCAAGACTCCTCGTGGCTGCCGCCGCTACGTGCACGTACACGCGTCCACACGCGTGTGAAACCCGCGTGTTCCCGTTGCCCATTCATAGCGGTAAGATTTCGCTCGCGACTCCTCTCGGTGCGAGAAAGCGAAACCGATTCCCGGGAGCGGGTGAAAGAGCGAGAGGAGAAAGCACGGGGTTGACGTTGGCTAAGCGAGAGAGGGTGAGGGATCAGGGAAGAGGAAGAGAGAGACGGAGGGAGGGAAAGCGGAGGACTACGGCCGCGCGCGTGTGTTTGAGGCGTGAATTCATGTATGCTCGCGAAGCACTCTTCACAGGGGACAATCGAGGTGTTGGACTGGAAATCCATACCAATTTGAGCGACTTACGGTCGTTCGCTTGAAAGCCCGGTTACACGCTAACATTGCTATATATATACATATATATATACATATATATATACATATATATATATACATATATACATATATATGTATATACCAATGATCCAACGTCGTATATACGCGACGATCCTCGCGCGCTATGCGTTTACGCACGAATCGAGAGACGTCGCGATACGTTAAGTGAACGCCTCGTCCCTTCAACCCGACCACCATTTTATTCCTTCGTTTCGAGGTCAACCGATCCGCGCTTAAACTCCTCTCATCCACCGAAGAATTTTCTTTCCCCTTAAAAACTTGCGACTCGCATGCGTACGATTTTGAAGAAGATAGCAATTAGCGGTTGTTCCGAATATTTAACCGTTACACGGCAACAGCCGTTTTCCCTGGTGGTGGTGGTGGTGGTGTGGCCGAAGCAAAGGTAGAAAGCAAAGAAGAATTACAAAGAACCGAGTGACGTGGCGGGATTTACACTAGAATTCTTGAAGGGACCTAGGCGGGGACAAAAGAGGCTCGTTGACGAGTCTCCGTACCCGCCTCCTACTTTTCGCCCGNNNNTGAAATTAGTTACGTGCACGTGGAGGAAAGGGACGTGATGCGGCATAGAGACGAGGCTCGCGTAATCGACTCGCGCCCGTATCTTCAATTACTTTGACCCAGTGATGTATACACCAACACGATGCCGTACACCCTCGCCTCGCGCTTTAACTCGGCTAACCTTCGACGTGTTAACCACCGGTGATCCGGACGTTCGATATCGCGTGATATCGAGATCCGGGTCGCCGACCAAGTCCGCCTAACCGCGTCGCGTCTGATAACTACAATTACCTTCAATTTCCTTTAATTTGGCGCGGAGGAGGGGGTTGCGCATCGATCGAGCAACCCCCGTACAGAAGAATCCCGCCACAGACAGATCGAGAATGGACTAATTAACGATTTAATCGCGGCTCGGCCACG